GTTTTAAGGTAGAATACCGAAGCGTAAAAAACTGAAAGGAAATCAAGAGACATAGACAAAAACAAAGAAAGACAACATAGATTTACATTGCAAACTAACGGCATTTGAGAAAAACGAGGCACCGTATAAAAACAGGCGAACCCAGGTGTTCTTGTAGTGCAAACAGTTAAACAATATGAAAAATAACGGATATAATGTGGAAATCAAACAAGAAAACAAAAACAATCAGTTTTTACAACCACTAATAATTGCAATCAACACCAATTAGTGTAATAATGAAAAGACTGACCAAAATAAACAACACAAATACAGACAAAAAAAAAACGACACTTGAGAGCGATAAATCAACGAAACAGACAGCTTTGCAACTTCAAAGCAAGGACTGAAGCTCATAAACTCGGCAATCAATCCTTGCCGTCACCGTTTTTTTGTATTTTCTGCGTCACTGATCGTTTATGCGGACTTGCTATTTTGTACTGTGACGTCACGATATAGATACTGTCAGTTTCTATTGTAATCGACAAGCTTTCAAAGGGAAATACTTTTTGTGGTTGGAACTACTTTTTGGGGTTTACACCAAAGACCCAAAAGGGAAAAAGAAATTATGAATTGACGCTGAAAATATACGATTCGATTTATTCAAATTTCAATTAACTTTTTTTACTTTTCAATATATTTTCATCAAGTTTGCATTTTATCAAATGAAGAGTTAAATGTGTTATTAAAATGAATGGATTTGTCCCTAGTTAAGATTTTGGAAAATAAACATTATAATTTGTTATCAAAATTTACCAGAAAAAAATATAACTTGTTTACAGATATGCAATTCAGAGAACTGCCTATTATTTCAAAGGCACTGAAATTCATTTTAAACATTTTTTTTTATTTTAAAGCTATGTGATTGATTTTGCCAAGTTAGACTGTATAATGCTTTATCAAATTTGTATACAATGAGATTTGTAACTGGTTTTTTTTTACACCATACAGTTGAAAAATCTGAGATTTTACTCTTATGCATACATGTAGCATTAGACTGTGATTGATTTTAGAAGTAGTTTCAACTACATGTTTTGATATAAATTCTTGCTAGAATTGAATGCTTACTTTGACTGATATTTTTTTTTAAACGATTATATGTTTCTCAAATAGTGTTACTGTTATCTTATTTGACTATATATATGAGTATAATAATTTAATTCTTTTATGTTGACAATGCACATTTCCCGCGATATACTGAACAAAAATATATAATAAAGTTCATTCAAAGAACCGGCAAAATAAAAAATTCGCTATGTTGTCGGTGCCGGCAAAATAGCTATTCCTAGAGAAATATGCTCTTTTCTTGGCATTAATTAAGATATTTTAATCCGAGCCGGCAAAATTGCCACTGTCTTAATTAAATTTGTGAAATAACTATGACTCTTATCCGTGAACATGTCTTTGAAATCTAATGCCCCTTTCATATATACATATTGTTGTCTCGATGCAGGTGAATATTGGAACGTGTGGGAGTTTTTTTTTTAAACAGCCTTCAAGTGCTCAAAATTGTTGCTGTTTATTCTAAACTTATCATACCGAATTCGAGAAAAATTTTCTTACGATTAGATGCCACTTTTTCATATCAACACACCGTTAAAATCTTTCCAGAGCTTTTATAGTGTTTCTGTTTAAATCATCGTATAGATAATACATATGCAGGCTAAAAACGTTACTAGATTTACTTATTTACTTACTATAACCACTGCTAAAATACCCTAACTTGGGATTGATTTGCGGTAGGAGGGATGCGTCAGTACTGTCTAACTATACTGTCCTATGTACAGTTAACTGTTTGACAATATCTCAGCAGTCTAACTATTTATGATTTAGAAATAAAGAATAGGTTCGTTAGTCCAAAAAGTTTATTGTATTAAGTATTGTATTTAGACAGTGCTGTTATTCTTTTATATATCTTATGAGTCAAGTACAATAGCATGATATTTTCATATGGAATTAACATGTGATCTTCCTTAATATAAAAATAAAAAGATGTGGTATGATTGCCATTGAGACAAATATCTACCGGAGACCAAATGATACAGAAGTTAACAACTATATGTAATATTCATCGCTGGACGTTAAACACTAATTATCAATCAATCAAAACAAGTTCAACCAAAAAATCTTTAAGCATCTGTCTCAAATGACAGATCTTGTCTCCTTTGTTTTGTTAATTATCAAGATGATGATGATGGATGGCTGCTTAACGTCCACCGCAAATTAATGTGCTTACTTATTCAAGACGAGAACATAATAATGTGATATGAATATTAACCTTGCTTTGTACTAGACCGCCACACTGAGCCGGATTTTTAACGTGCTAGTACACAAAGCAATAGTCCTCAGGAAGACATGTCACCTTACCCGGACACATTATTCTGACTCCGAGTAGACTTGTCTTTGCTCTTACCCCTTAATGCCGCGTGCTTAGCGGAGAAGCAGTAAATACCACTGTTAAAGTCTTTGGTTAGGCCCACACGGATTTGGACACACGACCCCGAGGTGAACACGCTACCAAGAGACCACCGATGCGGTTTTCCATTATCATGAAATTAGTGTCTTCATATGGTGAATGTATAGATAATCTGCATGCATGCATTACTAAATATTTATATGGGAAAATTTATAGTTTGAAGTGATACATGTATATATGACAAAGATGCTTGTCAATATCTAACGGCAATATTGCTTATGAAGATGTGATATGATTGCCAATTAGACAACTTTCAATAAGAGACAAAATGACACGGAAATAAACAACTATTGGTCACCGTACGGCCTTCAACAATGAGCAAAACCTATACCGCAAAATCAGCTATTAAAGGCTCCGAAATGACAAGTGTAAAACTATTCAAACCAGCCGAAAACGGCCTGATTTAGGTACAAAATAATGAACGAAAAACAAATATGATATACAGCAACAAACGACAACCACTTAATTACAGGCTCCTGACTCGGGACAGACACATACAGAACTTGCGGGCGGGGTTAAACAAGTTAGCCGGCAATATGATCACTTGATGCGTAAATAAATTACACATTTCTATTCTAATGTAGGTTGGGGTTTATCTTGTAATGATATATGAAAAGGTATCATTATCCGGTATGCATATTTTACTTGTTTCTACTGTGAATCGAAGTAAATCAAATTATGAATCTGGTATAATTAAAATTTAATACAGTTACCATCTTAAGGGCGGGGGGACGGGGTGCCCTCCTCTTATGGAACTTTATTTATGGTTAATCCAGACTTTTTACTGGTTCAACTACAAATTTTGTCTAGTTTGGGTCTCGTGGGTCCCCCCATTTTTCAAAATCCTGGATCCGCATCTGAGTTGTTCGCATCCCAATTTGGTATCTGCATGGTGGATAAATGTCGAGTTGGCACTTATACCATATCTGATTATTTTTGTAATGAATCTATTTATCAATTATTGCGGACTTGTCACAAGGAAGGTGAAATTTAGTTTTTTAACATACCAATGTTCAGACTTTTTTGTTATGTATTAGATATTGGTGGTGGTCAATGCTGATGTGTTTGGGTTCCAACAAGCTAGTCAAAAAGAATTGTGTTACAAAAATGTGTGAAACATTTGACCAATTTAATTATTATTCACTGAATTGTTTAGCTCATTTTGTCTTAATATGATTGATTTTATGAACTTTTCATGTTCATCCCAAAGCCATGTTTTTTCTGTATGCCAATGCAGTCATAAGAGTTTGATCCCGGGTAGAAGGTTCATGCACTGTCCCCTCACATTATAAATTGTTAGATATCTTTAAAATGGTTTGAATTCCAACATCGAAACCATACAAGTATGTTCTCAATTGCAATGAGCAGACCTTTCTAGAGCACCATAGGTGTTTGTCCATCCTCTATATTGTAAAAAATCATTAATAAATATATTGTCAACCGTTCATATCCCAACTATTCTAATATTCTATGACAAGGCCTTTACAGTATACACACCATGTGTTTTTTTTATTTCGAGTGATGCCAATCATTATATCATTAAATGATGAATATAAAAAAGAAGAGCGCACATGCTGAAATTTTTGTCTGCTTTACTTATCATGATTGGACTTTTGTTAAAAATTCTGTAAAATGAAGGTTGTACTACAAGTATCACATAAACCTAACAATATCAAATATACATATACATAAAGTCAAGGTCAGATGCACTCTGCCAGACAGTCATGTACACCTAACAATCATACCGTACAATACTCCAAATATAGTTAGCCAGTTGCCTATAGCATCTGACAAACTGAGTCTACTCTTTATTAGCGTAATGATAAATTAATGGCACATTATTAAAAGAAGATTGGCCATGCCATTTCACATTCTGTATACATTTGACCTAAACACCTAAAACTCAGTACAGATTTCCATGTATTTTTGATATGTATTCTAGTTCAATAACATAGGCTAGGCTTTGAACTGAACTCTCAATTGCATTGTTTCATATTTTTCATTTTAGGCTTTTTATAGCAGACAATTTGGTGTGGGATTATTTCTCATTGTTGAAGGCCATACGGTTGTCTATGATTGCTTACATCCACTTCTTTTTGTTTTTTGGTGGATAGTTGGCTCATTGGCAATCATACCACTTCTACTTATTTTCACATTTTAATTAGGCTGACCTTGACCAGATGCGGATCCAGGAATTTGAAAAATTGGGGGATAGTGGGTCCCAAAATAAGACAAAATTTGGAGTGGAACAGGTGAAAAGTCTGAATTAACCATAAATGTAGCTCTGTAAAAGGTACCAGGCTACCAGGACCCTGTTAAATTTTAATCGGATTAGCGAGTATTTGCAAAATTTTGTTTAGACACATAACAAAAATGGTGGAATATTGGTCTTCGGACTAGTAGTTGGAAAAGTTTTTGGTGCAGACTGGATTTTGACTAGGACCCTTGTCCATAGATTGACTTTTAAAATTGACTTAAAAAAACAATAAAAGATATGTTTTTTTATTTCCTGTGTCTATGATAATTGTTTGAATTTAACATTTATAAAAGTCCTTGACTCTGGCAGTCTCTATCAGCACACAACATACAAAGTATATTTCTTTTAAGTCAGCTTCTCTGTGTTACAGTTCCATATAATATGTCCATTCTAGAAAAAAAAAATTAATTAATAAATTTAAAATACTGCATTGCATGTCATTTAAAATTAAAGTTTGCTTTTACTATTTGACTTTATGAATGATAATGAATGATCCAAAAATAAGAAAAAAAAAACACTTATGATACATGAACAATTAAATAAAAATACCTATGATCAAATTCAGAACATATCAGGAGATCATGTGCAACAATCTAGTAAAATATAACATATATTTTTGCATATCTTAAATCTTTGAAGCTATTACATATTGATCTTATCTCCCTTTACAACTTCAAGAGAATATATTTTAAAAGCTTAAAGTATATTTCACAAAGTATTTTAGAGATTCATTCAAAGAAAAATTTAGCATGCATAGAAAAACACCAATTTAGAAGAAATAATTCAAAAACTTAAATTTGGACATTTTCTTAGCTATTCAAGAAATGGTACCTTTCTTGTGTCTGTCTAAGTCTTTGTTATGTGCATTTTATAGCCAGAAACAGGGGGCCACCAAAAAGAGCATATTTTTAGCCAATATTTAATTTTGACAAATGAAGTCTCAAAATAATTTGTCTTTAACTCATTCAATTTTTCAGCTCTAAAATAACTTTTTGATAAAGAAAGTGATATATATATATATATATAAGCATTTTCTATGTATTATAGGCACCAAAAACTTTATTTTAGCTTCAGAGATATGCAAAGATATTTTTGATGTATGTTTACAGTGGCTCAAATCTTAATTTCTCTTCAACTTCAACTCAAGAAAAGGAAGATCACAAATAGATATGTGAAGAATACAAATGAACTAGTAAAATGCATACACATGATCAGTGACAGAATTCAATATTTACATGAAAACCTCATGAAACAGTGTATTGGACTATTTTACATTATGATAAAATTTTGGTGCATTTCTATAGAAACAATAAATATGCTATAGTTTGCCAATTTTTGCCAAAATTGAATATATTATGAATGAAAGAGTCAGATCAGCAAGTCTTGTAAAAAAAAAGAAGCTTATTTTCATATTTAGAATATGGAACACACTCTCCAAATATTGACTATTTTGACAAAAAGTATCAAAATTAGCTGATTTCTCATTGACAATCTCATATAAAATTGCACATTACAATCAAACTGACTTTCAAGTACAAAACTTTGACCTTACCTATGTATCTAGCTTAGTACAGAAAAAATCAGCTTTATTGATGACTATATTTCAAGGGCCAAAATTGCCTTTTTGCATCATTTTGTTTGTTCGGTATCAAATTATGTAAACTTTGTACAGTTTAAATGATAATAAATGAAGGTCAACTGTACTTTTAATGAAAAAAATGGAATAAGATTGCCAGTATATTGCTGTCTGACATATGAAACATCTTTGCAGTCAATATTATGAAGTTTAAACTAAATATCTGCTCAAACTATTAAGGGAAAATCATGTACATGTATTTCTCAAATATAATTACATAATAGCCAGCTGTAACATGACACCAATATGATACTTATAAAAAAATCTTTATAATTCTCCAATATTTTGTCAAATCTATCAATCAAACCACAAATTGAAGATTGTGTTGCTCAATTCTTTCAGGCTGTACCAAACCTTGACATGAATGTGGACCCAATTAATTCTTTCCCCCATTACTTCAAAGCAATTTTATCATACTGGTAATTGGGGACAGATTTTTTGTTCCCTATATTAAACATGAACATTTCAATTACTTTCTCATTTATTTCTAAATACAAAACTTAAATTGCTTATTCATTTTAGTAGCCTCCTTTATGGTTTCTTGGAGAATTCTTGAAGGGTCAAGACCAGCATTTAACAGCAGTACTGTTTTGAGTATAAATATATTACATGTTTATAAGGACCCAGCCACAGATCATGGCCCTCATGGGCTAAATTATGGGAATTTTGACATGGTTTAAACCTGGTCCTGGTCCTATAAAGATATTAACTGGACATGTTTCAAAGAGCAGTTTCTTAACTTTTAAGATATGACCTTCTTTTTTTCATAAACCCTAGCTAGGATGTTAGATCCCTGCACATGTTATTTTTTTTAAAACTACTTATTAGATATACACTATAAATATAAATTCACAAGTCTTATTTTTGACAAAAAAACTGATGTTCTATATATATGTATATATATAGAAGTCTATAAAAAGGACCAACCAGCAAATTTACTATGTACCGGATCGTCTAGAATAGACGATACTGTGCAGATAATGAAGAAATTATATAAGTCTAGAGATTTGCACAGCGATACTTATATAAGATGGTATTATACGAAGATGTTGTTATTAAATCGTGTTGACAAATATTTCGGCTTAACAAATAGCCTTCTTCAATTATTTTAACAATGTTATTTATTATGTTTATTTGTTAAAATAATTGACACTGAAGAAGGCTATTTGTTAAGCCGAAATATTTGTCAACACGATTTAATAACAACATCTTCGTATAATACCATCTTATATAAGTATCGTTGTGCAAATCTCTATACTTATATGTATATATATATATATATATATATATACAAGTCAATATTGAAAACAGCGTTCAAACCTATGATTGCATTGGATAAAAACAGCAAATATATATAAAATAAAAACTATAACACAATTTTCCATACGTTTCAGCCATTACGGCCTTCTCCATTGGAATACATTACAACATTGAATTTAACAATATATACATTATATAATTATCTGCAAGGCATTTGATCAAAATGACAAAACTCACCAAAAGGTAAAATACTATTGAAATTAACATATCCTATCTGTTAGAAATTTAACTGCTAACTTCCAATCTCCTGGCACCTCATGTTATGACAGTGTCATGATAATCAGTAACATGAAACCTTAAAAGATAATTATCTATCATCAGAATCAGCTCTATATACAGCTAGCCAACAGAAGAGGGGTGCAGTTCCCCTCTGCACTTTTCTGTGTCTAACTTCAGCCTACATATATACTGCATGTATCAAAGGGAAAAAAATATTTTAACCACTGGACAAAGTTTTTTACAGACGGTGAGACCAAAATAGCATAAATACAGGAAAAAACACAATGATTTATTCATTTGTTTCAATATTTATTTTTAATATATATAAACATGTTCCCTTTCAGACAAAATATCAGTCTTAGGTGTCCTTCATCCTTAAACTGTGCCGCTCTTAAGTTCTAAGTTACCTACACGTAGAACACTTTGCATGATTGGTATTAAATATTTAAAAAAATATCATTAGATTAGTACATTCATTTGCTTAATAACTTATGTGGAGTTCAAACTAGGCTCAATTTTATATGGAAAATATGCTTATTACTATATAACAGTATTTTATATGCCTGGTTTTCTGTAAATAAGCCATAGTGGATGATTCAACAGATAAATGAAAAATTCATCCATATAAATTGAATTGTATATATGCAAATATGAAAATTACAAATAAATTCATTCATTATGATATCTGTGTTTTTTCTTATGAACTTCCTACATGTACAGGTGTCAGACCACCAATTACTCCCTCCAATTTAGAATGTATGTAAAAGTAGCCCTACTCTGACACAAAATAGTGCTTTTGATATCCTGGTTTACTTAAACTTACCAACAAATTTGTAGAAATGAAACTTTTGGTGAACGAGAAATATATTTAGACCATTTTGAACCAAAATTTACTTGTCTATGAATTTGCATTAAAAATTCAGGATTAATGCGTTCCATAGTATACTAATTTAAGATTTCCAGAAAACCAGGAGTTATTTTGGTAGAACCTGTGTTCCCAAGGTCAGATTTTTCTTATAAGTCTTTAAAGGTAGGTTGAAAATTGGCATGTGGAAAGGTGATGCATGTACAATTCAGGATATACCTGGTTTCTATGAAGTTAAACTTAAGGTAAAATATTTGTAAAGCTGTGAAAATTGCAAAATTTGGTTGAACAGATAGGGATTTTTAATTGGTGGTCTGACACCTACATTGTAAGAAAAATGGGTGATTATACATTTTTGTAAATATATATATAATTATGATTCTGGCATTAGAACATTACTTTCAATGGTTAAGACATAGACAAAAATACATTAGGTTCGAGGGGGTACAATTTTTAATGTCTAACAAACTCTATTCTCTGTCCATGAATAAAGTTATTTATGGTACCGCAGCTAAAATAAAGTATGATACTTGTTTGAAATGCCCCTCCCCCTTTTTTAAATTTCTGGTACATTTTGCTATCAAGAACCAGGAATTTTTATATAATAATCCACTGGCAATCAGACCTAACATCTATGCAATTGAATTCTGTCATATGCAATGATTTAAAATAGTTATTTCGTTTAAAATAAGTAATAATCATACCTGTATGGTTTGTACGCTGACGGTCGTCAACTTGGAAAACGTAAACAAAGTAGTTCGCATGTATGCAATTTCAGCAGAATAGTCAAATTGCTACAAATTGTCGTTAGATTAAAATTGAATCGTTAAAGTTAATACAACAGCTCGTTTTAAACAGCGTTTTATGCAATTAATGAAAAAATGTATACGTGCGCTGCGGATGACTACGTATTACAAGATCTTGTAATTGTGAGTACGGCTGATGGCAATGTTAAACGCAGGACTTCGGGAAAGTCCGGAGAGCCGACAACCTTGCTTCGGAAGTTGACAGCTTTGGTGTCATCAAAACGAGCAATCCTATGTAGGAAGCATGCACAATAGCGTGACGTTATCAATTGTTGTAAAGGTTGCCATGGTGCTGTTTGAAAACGTACGACGCCGGGCCAATTGTTGGCAGTCAAAGGTAAAGCGTTTTCAAATATATTGGCAGTCAAAGGGTTAACACTCTTCAGAGGCGGATTTAGGGGGGCCCAGGGGGCCCGGCCCCCCCTTTTGTGGGAAAAATTTGGTTGATTATATAGGGAATCACTGAAGCATGACTGGAGCGGGCCGCCTCTTAGGCAGTCAGTGGCCCCCCTCTTATGAAAATTTCTGGATCCGCCACTGACTCTTGCTGCCGGAGACAACTATCTACCAAAATTAAAATGAAGTAAAGTCCGCTTCTGCTTGACGCAAGTTCTATTGAACGTGTCTTAGGTAGACTCTGAATGCAGTGCAAGCTATCATTCAGTCAAAAATTCGAAACGGTTTTGTTCTTTACAGGCGCCAACATTTAAAGAAAAATCTACGGGAAATCTTTCGAACTTGTCGGACTTACCGTTTTATGCATTGTATTCGGAGTTTACTGTACCTTCAGTCAAATCTGCGTTTAGCATGTACTTCGGAATCCGTAATACAATTTCTATACTTACTTTATGTGTTCGGTATTTCATCCATAAGAATTGAACGTATTATATAGTTATTTCATGATTGTGAGGATAAAAGAAAGAACACATGAAATAACGCGGAAAAGGCATTGGGAAAAGGGTTTGGCCAATGCCTAAAGCGCATGCTCGCTGTATACGGTTAGCGACAATCTTTCTAGAATAATTAATTTTCTCTTACTCTCCCCTGCCAATACTGAACATGCCCTAATGGCCTTGTTTTAACTCGGTAACTGGGAACACCGGGTAGAAAAAACCAAATTTTAAAAGCTCTTACTTCCGTGAAATTAGAATACTAGACCTGAAACTACTGAAACGTGTAATACTAGTCCCAGGCTCTATAAATAAACTTTTAAATCCGACAAGAATAGTATGATAGTATAAGCATCTTTATTTTCTTTTGAGTATTTCTAAATAGAGGCGCTAGGGACATAGATTCCGTCCCCCTTTACTTTTGTTTTCTTATTTTTTGTGCTGAAGACTTTTTAATAAATTATTCGTCATCCCTTCGACTGTCATGGATAACAGCCACCACAAATAACATAAGTCAAAATAAAAAGGAAAGTTTAATAGAAAGCAAATTTAATGATTAAAAAAAAGGAAAAAAAGAGAAGCGCCTATGCACATGTTACTTTGATTTTCAAATGGACAGTTGCTGAACTTTTTACGGAGTGTATACTACACAATTTCACCATGAATTTTGGCGTCAGGCGATGATCTCATGTTGTTAGTGAACGACCACATTAACTCTAAGGGTAGGGGGATCCCAAACTTTGAAAGAAAAATATATTTTGATCAGAGAGAAGAAGGGGAAATCTGATAGAGAGTATTTGCCATTAACTTTATTGTTCAGTTTTCAACAAGGAAATAAATAATTTGATGCTAACGTGTAAACTTTTTCATTTGACTTATACTCCATCTGCACATTGAATAAGAGGCATGCAATAGCTGTGATATTGTGATGCGTAAATATAAGTTTATTTTTACACTACATTTAAGAAAAGGTTAAGAAGCATTTTAATTGCAAGGGGTACCAACCTGACGCAGCTTGTATTCCTGTTTGAATACTCAGTTCAACAAATTATACTGTTGATTCATTATAAATCGAAGAATACCAAATTTATTGGATTTCGTGGTTATATTTTGGGTCCTCATTGCTCTTCAGCTTTGTACTTGTTTGGCTTTTTGACTATTTTGATCTGAGCGTCACTGATGAGTCTTATGTAGACGAAATGCGCGTCTGGCGTATCAAATTGTAAGCCTGATACCTTTGAAAGCGCGCCCGGTGTATCAAATTATAACCTGGTACCTTTGATAACTATTCATAGGTGAACCACGAATTTAAATGTTTAACAAAGTACAAATTTTCCTAAGGGTCTCCACAAATTTTGGAAATCCCTCGAAATCAATTATCAACGAAACTATCCACGAACATTGTTATCCATGAAAATAAATGAAGCAACAGTAGTTCACATTATTTCTGGTTATGTTTTTGGTAATATGAATGAAGAACCATTTAAGCACCTGAGATCACCCCCAGATTTTGGTTGGGTTCGTGTTGCTTAGTCTTTAGTTTTCTATGTTGTGTCATCTGTAATATTATTTGTCTGTTTTGGCCATGGCGTTGTCAGTTTGTTTTCAATCTATGAGTTTGACTGTCCCTCTGGTATCTTTCGTCCCTCTTTTAAAGAGGGTTTGAAAAAAGTGCTGGAATTCAACAAATAGCTGTATACCTGTACTTTACACTTTTGTCTGCAAACCTGCTAACCATTGATTTTTTTCATATATATTGTTAACCTGTTGTTTGTCTATAAACTTCCTTTGGCCGGCGAATAAGAGTTGGGCCTCTAGAGTGGGGTCTTATTTGAATTTCCGTTGTAATTTGTACTGTCTTAGATGCATGATATTTTTTATTAGTTGTTAGTGGCTTTGAATAAGCTGTCAGTAACTGCGAGTCCTCTCGGATCTATACTTAGTATCTTTTTGTTTTTGGGATATACAAGTTCCCGACCACGCCCATTCTGTGTTTTTGTTAGATGTATTTCTATTTGTATCAATCTTATGATTTAAGCCTTTTTCAACTGATTTTTCTAGTCCGTTTTTATGTTGTACTGTTTCAACATTGTCCAAGGTTAGGGGAGGGTTGTGATCCCACCAACATGTTTAACCCCGCCACATTCTGTATGTATGTGCCTGTCCCAAGTCAGGAGCCTGTAATTCAGTGAATGGCGTTTGGTGGTGTGTTACGTATTTGTTTTTCGTTCATTTGTTTGTACATGAATTAGGCCGTTTTTTTTTCTCGTTTGAATTGTTTTACATTTGTCATTTAGGGTCTTTTTATAGCTTGGATTGCGGTTTGGACTTTGTTCATTGTTGAAGACCGTACGGTGACCTATAGTTGTTAATTTCTGTGTCAATTGGTCTCTTGTGGAGAATTGTCTCATTGCAATCATACCACATCTTCTTTTTTATATGATCATCCAACACCAGTGTTCGTTACTCTTTTATTTGGGAAACTACTTAACAGAATGACTTCAAATGTA